TTGACAGCTTCTCAACGGTCATGCGCAAGAGGTGTGCATCTTTACTATATCGGTTTCGTGACAGCCCCAACACTGTCCTGAGGACGTTGGCTGACCGCTGGGAATCTCCGATTCTGGGTCGCTGGAAACGACTCCATGCAGTAAAATAGACTGGGATGGGAGAATCTCTAGCGGGTATACTTAGTTTTAGTTTTAAATTTACATATATAATTACCCGATAGTTTAGTTTATTTACTAACTTTAGATATAAGACTTTAACTAACAAAATATGTAACCAGTTTCTGAAATAAATGTTTATTATTATTCCCTTTATTTATTTTCATACTTGATTTATATATTTTTAAATATTTCATTATAGAGGTATATATAAAAATAAAAACATTTAAAAATATAAAAAGCAGTAGCCCACTAGTAACGGGAGAAATCCAAGCTACCGGTGGTCAGGGCTCCAGAGAAAGGAATTTCCGGACAATACGCGCCGTGTCCAGAAGTACTGCTTTCTGCATTATTATTACAGTGTAACAACACACCATTCACACTGAGAGAGGCTAAAAAGTCTGTAAACAAAATCGTCATTCGAGATAGGATGTCGCGCACAGCATTCCCTACACGATTTGGCTGTCGAATCCTTACGGATTGGACAGGATCGCGTTCTGAACAACACTCTGAGCGTGGAGGCTGCAGATAATGGCGTTGCAGCAGTTATTGAGCGCTGTATTTTACATCCAGGCATCAAAATATTGCATCACGACATGAAGCCCTCGGATGATCTCATGATTCCGCCACTACGGGAAATATCATAGAAATAGATCAAAATGATTTAGACATAAGGGTTATTTTATCACCAAGTCTACTGTATTCTAGTTTGTACTAAGAAGCCCCGCAGGTAACAATGGCTACAACCCCCACCACGATTGTTCAGGTAACACACAACGTACCTTCTCACCCACCAAAATTAGATCCTACATCGAGACATCGAGCCCTCAAACCTCAAAGCATCAGAAAAATGTCATCGTACCAAAACGCAACTCCAGAAATGCAGTATGTTCCATTCAGGACACCAAAATATTGGCGAGTGTTGGCAAACTCCCCACTCAATCCATATGAATATCAAATATATCAGTCAAATAAGAGAGAAAATACTGGGGAATACTGGAGGAGCAGTCAGTAGTTAGAATATAAGGAGAGGCAAACCATTAAAAATAAGACGAAAATGATGACGAATGCAAGACACAGTATACAGAACGTGCAAGGAAATAAATGCGATGGCTGTCGATGGCGGAGGTAGTGCGGAAAAAATAAGGCCCCCAGTCTACGGTAACCTCGCTGTAGCAAGCTACCGTAGTAGCGGTTAATGTGGCAATAACATTAGTGCAAAGAAACCCCGGAGGTTGAACAATAGCTAGCACCACCACCACAACTGTCACTGACACTCACAACATATGCACTCACAAAAACCAGATCAGTCATCGGGACATAAAGCCTTCAAATCATAAAGCCTCTGATCAACAGAGTTAACAGATAGACTACTGGACGACGTCGTGTTATGAAGCCCTCGAATGGAGTCTACCAAGTGTTACGAGTATTGGCAAACTTCCTCATATGGCCAGCAATACAACAACTAGAGCCCAGTCTCCGGTAGCCCCGCTGCTTCGTGCTACCGTAGTAGTGGTGAGAATGAGGTGGGGCAAGAGAGCGCTAAGAATCGCTGGAGGTGGAAAAACGACTACCACCTTCAATGACAACTAGTAACACACAAGTCACACAACCTCCGCAATTTGAGGACTGATAAGAAAATTACAGAGCTGGAAGAAGACATGGTTATTGCGTCGGTCTAAAGAGAATACAGACTGACAAGGAGCTAGAAGGCTTCCCTATTACTCGGAAATAGAAATGACTATAGGTATTTCCTTGCTATGGTAAGAATAACGACTGACATAAGAAGCTAGAAGACGTCTCTATCACGGCGTTACGTGAGACTAAGATCCTCCAGCAGCTTTAACATGATAACGTCAAGAACCAGATCAAAATTTACATTTACAATTACTGAATGTATTTGACCTTGGACTACGGTAACAAACAGATGTTTGTAACATCTGCGTGGCATGCTGTCGCATCAGAAAGTCAGGTTCTCGTTCAGCGAGGTCAAAATGAAGGTAAAACAGTTGCTAAATGCTTTATTTTACATTCAGAACACCAAAGACCAGGACAAAAAGCTATCGGATGTCCTACTTAAAAAGGAACAGTACATCAAAATTAGTCTTCCATTCAAGACCTCAAAATATTGGCGAGTGCAACATGAAACTGTCGTGTGTCGTAGTTACTGAATGCTGTATTCTATATAGTCGTAGAACACTGTGACCATCATTTGACTGGTCTTCCATCGCATCATAAAGTCGGGTTCCCGGTCTGGCTGTCGAATTCTAACGGATGGGACAGGATCGCGTTCTGAACGAACAACGCTCTGGGAAAGATTAAGATGGTGTTGCAGCAGTTACTGAACGCTGTATTGGCCATCCAGGCATCAAAATATTGCATCACGACATGAAGCCCTCAGATGATCTCATGATTTGGCGGAATCATAATCTACGGGAAATATCATAGAAACAGATCAAAATAATTTAGACATAAGGGTTATTTTATCAAGTTCACTGTATTCTAGTGAATGCTAGGGACACAATACACAAAAAACACATCAATACACAAAAATATTACCTCAGGTCATGAAGCCATCGAATGGAGTCTACCAAGCGTGGCGAGTATGGGCAAACGCCCCCGTGTGACCAGCATAGATATAACAACTAGATCCCAGTCTCCGTCACCCCCACTGCTCCCGGATACGCGCAGGGTATCATGGACCTCAAATGACAGCAGATGGTGAGTGAACAGTTATTGAAACGTATCAGTGTAACAACACACCATTCACACTGAGAGAGGCTAAAAAGTCTGTAAACGAAATCGACATTCGAGATAGGATGTCGCGCACAGCATTCCCTACACGATTCGGCTGTCGAACCCTTACGGATTGGACGGGATCGCGTTGTAAACGAACGAACAACGCTCGGAGAGAGGCAAATGGCGTTGCAGCTCTTATTCAGCGCTGTACTTTATATCCAGGCTTCAAAATATTGCATCACGACATGAAGCCCTCGGGTGATCCTCATGAAATATCATACAAACAGATCAAAATAATTTAGACATAAGGGTAGTTTACTATATTCTAGTGAATGCTAAGGACGCCCTAAGGTGGAACAGTACTTACCACCACGACTGTCTCTGGCACACATAACATATGCATTCACATAAACCATATCCTACATAGAGATATGAAGCCTTCAAACGTCAACAAAGTCAACAGATAGACCACTAGACGTCATTGTGCTATGACACAACTGCTGATTGCAGTATTTTACAATTATTATGCTAACTTAAACCATGACTCGCGAAGAATATGTCGCACAGGGTGATATCGAGCCATAAAAAAGTTACATGACCACGACCTGGCAGATTTGCAGGCTCATCCTAACGTCAGGTTACTTTTAATAACACTCTGGAGGGCGTTGCAACAGTTACTGAATGGTTACAGTGTAACAAGATATCGCATCGGGACATGAAACCTTCGGATATCCTGAAAGAAAGCAGCTATCCTTATTATGATTTTCCCCCCTTAAGAAAAACTTTAAAAGCCAGTGTGTTACTTGTGGTATTATAGGTGCATCGTGATTGGTGGCAAATAAATTATCTTTTCTATCTTTCTATAGAATTTGAACTCCTTAACTCGTCGAGTACCGTCATTATAGACACAATTATAGAACAATAGGTTGCGGTCACCGGTGACCGCTTGGTGTTTGACAGTTTAAACTATGCTTCCACAAGAAGAGTCACATAGTGTGCTATAAAAAGGCCATACTTGGTATTCCTTTGCAAGATCGAAATGAGGAGATCTGCCAACGAATAAACCTGCTTTTTGGGAGAGATCCATCCGAAAAAAAACAGACTCCTACTGACTAAGTACGACCCCGTTCCTACTCCTGCTTCGAACCGGAGCCTCGGTAACCCGCTAGGTTGTCAGTAACCCCCAGTGGATTAGCAAGCTGATGTGGCAGTGGGCTTAAAAATTGGAAAAATAATTACTACTGAGACAAACACAGGTTTTAGAAAGGAGGTCACTTACCCGCAAAGTGGAAGCACAGCGCAGGACGTCCACCCACAAGGTGGACAGACGACCTGGATAAAAGTTGCAGACAAAAGCAGAACGCAGGTCAACTTGCGAAAATCGGGTTGCTGGGCACCTCCACACTACGGATGTGTTCAAAGCTCGATCCAGTCACTCGAGTTTTAATAGCAACCATTTTGTAGCCCTATAATACTTTTCTTTTTATTATTTTTTTTTTAAAAAACGTTGCCCCACACTAGGATTTTCTCCTGTGTCGTGGGTGCGTTTACAAACATACAAGTTCACAGTACACAATGACACCCAGACCCGGAACAACAATTTGTGGATCACACAAAGTGTTGTTCCGTGCGGGATCGAACCCGCGACACGTTGCACGGCAGCCGGTTGCCCAGCCACCGCACCAACCGTGCAGTCAATAATATACAATCACATGTGTGTTTGTGTTAGTAAAATATATTCGTGATAAAATAATCCAAGACACATGCATGGAACAATGAAAAAAAACAAAAAAACGAGGGAAGACGTATACCAATACGTTGCTAATACCCACTACAAAGAATCTGACGTGACGTTCAAATACGAGAAACTCGCGAAAATCGGTCAGGGCACCTTCGGAGACGTGTTCAAAGCTCAATCGAGTCACTCGAGTTGTGTTGAGTTGTGTGTAGCCTTAAAGAGAATCCTGACGGATAAGGAGACTGAAGGCTTCCCCATCACTGTGCTGAAGGAGATCAGAGAATCCTAACGGATAAGAAGACGGAAGGCTTCCCAATCAGTGCGTTGCAGAAGATCAGTGGCAGTGGGCTTAAAGATCGGAAAACGAATCACTAATGAGACAAACACAGGTTCTCGAAAGGAGATCACTTACCTGCAAGCACAGCTCAGGGCGTCAGCAGAAGGTAGACAGATGAATTGATAAAGGTTGCATACAACGGCAGAATGCAACTTCAAAATTTTAATTAAAAATAAACAATTACACGTATTTGTGTTAGTAAAATATATTCGTGATAAAATATTCCAAGCAAAAAGGAAAAAACATACACAAATATACGAGAGAAGACGTATACGAATACGTTACCAGAACCCACTCCTTGGAATCCGACTCATCATTCGCATACGAAGAACTGGTGAAGATCGGGCAAGGCACCTTCGGAGAGGTATTTAAAGCACGACCTAGCCACTCGATTTGTAAGAGTACAAAAAATTTTGTAGCCTTAAAACGAATCCTGACGGATCGGGACTCAGGGCGTCAGCAGAAGGTAGACAGATGAATTGATAAAGGTTGCATACAACCGCAAAATACAAGTCACTTCCAAGATCCAACTTTAAAATTTTAATTAAAAATATTCGTGATAAAATAATCCAAGACACATGCAAGGAACAGTGAAAAAAAACACAAAAATACGAGGGAAGACATATACCAATACGTTACAAGAACCCACTCCTTGGAATCTGACGTATCGTTCAAATATGAAAAACTGGTGAAGATCGGGCAAGGTACCTTTATATTGTGAAGTGGCGATTTAGTGACGAATAACAATTTAAATTCAAAATAAATAATTCTGCGTGTGTTTGTGTTAGCAAATTATATACAATGAATCCAAAATACACTCAAGAAACAATGAAAAAAACCACAACAACGAGAGAAGACGTATACCAATACGTTACCAGAACCCACTCTTTGGAATCCAACGCATCATTCGAATACGAAAAACTGGTGAAGATCGGGCAAGGCACCTTCGGAGAGGTATTTAAAGCTCGACCTAGCCACTCCATTTGTAAGAGTACAAACAATTTTATAGCCTTAAAACGAATAATGACGGATAAGGAGACAGAAGGCTTCCCGATCACGGCACTGCGGGAGATTACGATCGTACAGCAACTTGTCCATGAAAATATAGTCAAGTTAATTGAAGTCTGCAATACAAGACCGTCAGCTACCAACAAATATAAGGCAATTACTTAAAAAATTACGTTTTATTATCGACAAAAGGATTTGAAAAATCAAGTCGTCCGAGAGTTTTGCACGTACATAAATTTTGGCAATATACATAAATGGAATTTCAACACATTTTGAGTTAATCGAGACTTAATATGAGCTTATATTATGCTGAAACTAAATTGGAATTGTACGCATGTATGTACCAGACACACAAAACACCATAATGTTCCCACTCTCGATACTAATGATCTACCGTTTATTATTAAAACTTTTGGGACACATACAAAATTAATTGCTACATTTTCGGCTTAGTCATCATTTACAAGACTGAACGAGGAACTCGACTAGTTCCAAGCTATGCTAGAGGCTCATATTCATGAGCAGTAATCCGCTATACACGACACGGTGACTGTCGCGCAGCTACTGTAAACTAGTCAAGTTCCTCGTCAAACAGTTACGTAAGTCGAAAACGTAATAATTAAATTATCCATTCATGACAATCTTTCTCCATTCTTCTCTACTTTACTCTACTAACCTAACAGCAGTCTTATCCCCATTGGATTTAGGTACATATTCCATATCATCATCATCGCACTCCTCAGGATGCTTCCTCGCCCTATGCCGCTTCAAATCACTTCGCTTCTTAGTCACATAGTCACAATTATCACAGCAATGCCTTTTAATCCGGTCGCAATTTTGCAAATGTCCAAAAATTTTGACCTTATCCCTGGACTTAAAGTTACAATTCTTGCAGATGAAATTATCTAACGTTGATGTTGCGTTTATTTCTTGCGGATCGTGGCTTTTGAGATGGTAGATAAGGCTCATTTTATGTCTCGCTTTGTATTCACAGAGGTGGCACTTGAATTTTTTTTCGACCTTATGGTTTCTAGTGTGTCTAGCAAAATTGGACTTACTTGCCGACGTGTAGCTGCAAATGGAACAGACTTGGAGTACGGTGGAGTGCGTGGACAGGTGCTTATTATAATCCAGACTATTATTAGTACTATAATGGCACTGCACACAATAAAAGTCACACATGCTCCATCTAAACTTTCTTCTGTCTTTGGATTTTTTCTTCAAAACCTTCATTTTCTTTGTTGGTTTGTTTTTGACGAGGGTGACTAGTGGTTTGTCATCCTCGTCCGTTTCGTCTGATACCTCGACTGTGTCGATGTGTGGTTCCTGGAGTATGACGTCATCTTCATCGCTTGAGGTTAGCAGGCTGATCGGGTCGTCTTTCCTGGAAAGAATATTTATAAGTTTGTGAATATAGTCGAATTTTTGATGTGATATTAAGATGTTATTAAGTTTTCTCGTGCAAACCGCTAAGGAGTGGAATTCATTGCCTGAGTCTGTTCCCTGAAGGGTATACACCATATACCTGGGGTTTTTTAAGGGAGAAAAATCATCGAATGACTTATCCCGCCTGGGTGAGGCGGGAGGGAGTGTCAGACTCTTACTAACTAAAAACCACCCCGTTCCTACACTTCCAAGCCGGAGTCCCGGTAACCTACTACGCATTTTTTATTTTCTTACGGAGACGAATAGTTTCGAAGATATATTGATTTGAAATGTCGCGTGACGTCACTTCTATGTGCATTTATACTAAGAAATGACGTTTTAGCCCCCACTCCTAAACTTTGATTCGTTTTATCTAAGTATTGTTTTATTATACGACAAAATATAAAAAATACGTGTCCAATATTTTTTCATTACCTAACTGACGGACTAATTAGATTTTTAATTTTCATACTCAGTCATCATCCCTATTATTCAAGCTATGGTGTTTAATTTTCGTAAAATCCATTTAAATATTATATTTATTGTCTCTAAGCCGGTTTCAGCAAAATACCACGTGTGCCTAGGTGCAATCAGTAATTCCCGGAAATATTACAATGCCTACTAATGGGTTTTCGTTCTATTCCCATTGGTATATTGAGACAAAAGATGGATAATGTGGGATCTCAGGTAACTGTTAAACAGATATAATAATAACAACAGAGAATACGAGAGCTGTCTCGTTTTGTGAATTCGTGACTCATTTTTAAGAATAATGATTTTTCAGCGTGCGTGGTATTAAAAATTTGTTTTTTTTTTGTATACTTCAGGACTATTCACTTATTAGAACTTCTTGGTTCTTTTCTTTTCTTCTTGG